CGCTTGTTACGCGTTCGTTCCAAAACTCCACATCACTGATCCTCACTTTTGAAAATGTATGTTGAATAGGATACGAAACGTTAAGTTTATAAAAATGCGAAAACTCACAATGTTTATCACCGCTGTTTGTGTTTTGTTTTTGGAGAATTTTTCCGAATATTTGAGTTAATCGACAGGAGTGCCTACTCAGTCCCCTGGACTCACAAAATCCAAACCGTGCCAAATTTTATACACAGTTTTAGGGGGGATTTAATCCCGAAGGGGATACTTGTTGTCTCGCCAAGGTAGAAATTGCGAACTTGGTCTCTCTTTTAGTGCTCACGACAGAAGGCCTGCCAATGACATTTACCATAAAGGTATCGCTTAATTAGGCCCAGTTCAAACGTCGATCTTTTCATGTACCGAATCTAATCCCTTCAATTTAGTACATGAAGAGATCTACGATATGTCCTGAATTTGGGTTGACCCATGAATTAAGATCGAGTGGCCCACGTGGGAATTTCGACTGTGGAGTGCTTTTGTTTCAAACGTCGAACTTCTCATATGTCGAACCTAATGCATAAATTACTAAAATTTATTTCACTCGTAAACATTTTAGACCATTGTACATCATGAAAATGACTTGAGTCCGACTGACTAACTTAGACGTCTGAATGAACCGTCGAACTTGTATTTTGTATCAGTTGGCTTGGATCGACCTAAATAGGTATTAACTGAAATTGAGTACATGAAAAGATCGACGTTTGAACTGAGTCTTACGGTTGTGCGTAAAGAAATATCAGTACAATAAAAAACATAAAAGACAAACAAACAAACAGATGTCGCCTATGTTGGGCAGGAGAGAGGTTGAAGCTACGATCTCCTTTAGGGTTCAAATAAAGCTTGAGCCACACACAGATTGGTCCCCTTCATGGTTTTGACCTTTACGTCCTAGGAGTAACCGACAATAATTTTCCCCTTACAATTTTAATGATAGTCAAAAGAATAAATCATGAGAATTAAGTCACCCTTTTCGGACGGCTAGGGTCGTGTACGACCCATGTGGGACGATGTTAAAACATTCCTCCTTGGTAATCAACAACGTCAGCAAAGATATATCTTTCCAGCGATACCTCGTTTTGGATATTCTGACCAATCCTGAGAGAGTTACACTCCCAAAGAAAGGTAACTTTTTGTAAAAAAATCCGCTGCCAATTTGGCTGCGTACATACCAAGTCCAAATTTTGGCTTTTGTGCAGGCGTGAAAAACAAAAAAGCTGTTTAATTACGTCAGGTTAGTCGGAAAATATGCCTTGTTTCTTGCAAAACTCGTTTTTAGCCATTCTTATGCTAATTAGCCAAAAACCAGTCCAAAGAAGAGGAATGGGTGCAAAATAAGGTTTTCTCGCTACTCGCCGGCCGTCACCAAAAGGTTAATAGAATGATCATCCATGGAAAAGTGCTTTGATCTTTAAACAAATTCTCTTAACTACAAATTTTTTAAGGAAATGTATTGATATCAGTCTGGAGAATTTGTGTGAGGATATGGGGACTTAGAGGGTTAATTCTATTTTTCCGACAAGCATCCGCCGGCCCCTTCTCCCTCGCATCCCACGGGTTCAAAACTGTAGTGATTTTTTTAAAAAAATGATTCCGCCCTGTGTTTCGGTATTTTTAATGGACGTTCGCGCGGTGATCGCTTTATTGATGGTTGCGATCAAGAGGTCAGGTCGCACATATGACGAAAGTTCTGTTGAGTAGTATTATGCTACGACGGATCCCGCTGTTTAATAAAAATCAGTAACTATTCCCGTCTTTAAAAAATGAAAACAAAAAAGGTGAATTCGAAATCGTAAGATCATCTCTCAGCTGGAGAGCCGAATTTTTATGCTCAGATCCTAGGTCGTATGACTTGACTGCCTAGTAATGAATCCGTCATTGACTATGTGCAGTTCTACACAAGCGGCCAAGCACAGTATCAGTATGGCTACTATTTGAGCTATTTTTGAAGAACGCAAAATAAAAAATAAATATCAACTTAGCTTATTACGAAACTTATGCGCGCCCCGATGATGATGTTTGGGATGCATGCTTCCGAAAAAAATGTCTTTTATTAAGCCGGCTTAAGTCCTATTTGCCGAAAGTCTGTACCAAGCGGGCAAAGGTTTCTTTCTGACATGGCTTTAAGCATTTACGAAGTCGTTTGCGTGGCATGTTAGTCCGGCGTAGTTGGTTTGTTTACGCCCCGAGAGAAACTACGCGACTGACAAACCATGCAAACGACTTCGCTAATGCTAATAGCCATGCTTGCCAGAAAAAAAAAAACCTCTGCTCATCCGCGGTAAACGTCTGAGTAGTGAAAACCTTGCTTGCTAGCAGAGGCCTCTTTTCCCTCGAATAATATATCCAGGGAGTAGAGGCCTCTGGTCCCTCTGCTAGCAGAGAAGAGGCAATGAAGTCCCATACCCCTGGGAAATACGAGATTGTTCTTTTGACTGGGAGAGGTGCAGGGTTGTCAAAGGTTTAGGACAACCTGAATTTTACCTCTTAAAGGATTTTGAAAGTGATAAGAGGAAGGATTTATTCTGGGCTGAACAGTACAACACACTAATAAAACTATCCGTCAAGCATTTACCTTGCCCGCCTGCAATATGCAAAAATTGAGGAAAACCATATGACCCCGAGGAATGAAAAAATACAGCAAATCATTGCTTGTTATTTAGCCGACGCGAAGCCGAAACTGGACCACACTCTGTTGTAACTCACCGCACCTGCGGCTTCGAATCGCATTTTATGTTTGACAGAGCGGCAAACGGAAAGCGCGGGAAAGAGCGGGGCGGAGGGAAGGGTGCAGGAAGCACGTCGGAGAAGAAAAGATCTGAAAGCGTGAGAGAATGCTGATGAAAAACGTGTTTGGGCAAGAACCGGCAATCCAAAAGGAGCTCGACCATTTGCTCTCTCATCTTATTGCATCAAGTGAAGGCAGTAAGCTCGCGTAAAAAAAATGATAAACAAATAAATAAGGCAATTTAGGGAGCCATTTTAAAGGGGTTTAAAAAAAACACGTCCGCAAAGAAAACGGAAGTTTGAGATGAGTGCGGCTGATGCTGGAGCGGAGGATGAGAAGCAATTTCCTTGATATCGCTCCTATAATAATTAGAAAATTGATAGAAAAAGCCGGCTTGGTGGCCTTCTATTAGCATTCATTCTCGGTCCAGATTTCGTTACGACCACGCGACCCGAATGACACGCTGGTTCTCCGGTTGGGACAAAAAACCAATCAGTATTCAAATGTAGAAAGGCAGGCTACATATCTTACGTTGTGGCGCGTAGCACCAGTGAAACAAATAAAGAAAAAAGAAAATGTAGTGAGAATTCAAGAGCTTTCCAGTGAGCGCTTAGCCGGCTACCACACATGGCATTTAAAAAAAAACTCTTTTGACCTCTTTCGCCATTTTTAAATTATTGTTCCCGTCAGCTAGGCCTCGTAGTTTAGTCTGTACACCAACATAAGATCCGGAGGCCGTGGTTTCGAATCCCACCGAGGTCAAAAGATTTTTTCTTTGCCTCGTGTGTTCCCCATAATTCCCGGCTTGACAAAAGCTAACGCGCAGCGCTAGCGGGGTTTATGGGTTATTCGGTGAAAAGGCAATTAATGCTAGATGTTTTTTCGTATCTTGCGTTAAGGCAGCGAAACGCGCTGTTTCATACTTCATCGCTCTCATTCATTCAGTCTTTTAATTTGTCAAATGTTGGCGTCTTTATTTTTTTAATTTTTCAGGGGTTGAACTCTAAAGGGCTGCATGTAAACATTAAAAGGAAAAGGAAATCGTCCTCCACATATTATCTTTCAATAAAAGTTTTTTTTTGTGACTATACAATTTTTTTAAGCTATGTCAACACTATCATCGTTCTGAAGCTTTTGACCTAGAGGGCCTGGTCACAGTGGGTTCCAGTCCTCGCTCCTTCTCATTTACTTCCGCTACAATCGCGGTCCGACTGCGACGAAGAAAGGCGGCAAAAAAACAATCCGATATTTGACGATCCACTTTTTAAGACCGGAGCAGTGAAGCTTTTCTTCCTTACAGAAATCGCACCAAAATCACCGTTATATGTGTGAACAGAATCCCTGCAATAAGTGTTACGAAAATGAGCAACCATGCTCACCTGCATAACAGGCGCTTTATGAGCCAAGCGAGGCGAACGCGGCATTTTGCGCGAAGCGCGAAACGAGTGCGAGGCGCGAGACGGGGGGAGGGGATAATTTTTCCTCTCTTCTCTTTTCGAGCTTCGGGCAAAATGCCGCTTTCGCCTCGTTTCGCTCATAAAGCGTCTGTCGTGCAGGTTACAAGCATGCAAGCAAGAGCTATCCCGGCGGTAGCTGGTGTAAACACAGCCTTATTAAGCATGAATGAAGAAAAAAAAGCACTTTATTTGAGTGTCAATGTATTTAGCACTAAAGCACTAATTACGTCTCCTACCGGTGATGGGACCGCCATTTACGTGGTCATCCGAGCCACGCGAGGGTCCAACCGTTAAGGCAGTACCTTCAATTCTCAGTCATTTTTAAGACCCTGAGTATTGGTCCGGTCCCGGGAATCGAACCGGCGATCTCCCGCTCTGCGATCAAGCGCTCTGCCGACTGAGCTAATCCTGCCGCGGAAAAAAGGCCCAAAAAATGGACTTCGAAAGGCCATAAGCAAAATAACATGGCTTTCATTTTCGGAATTTCATGAGAAAATACACCATCCATCAAGGGGTATTGGCGTGAAGTAAGAGAGTATTTATCTTATGTAAGAAAAATAGTTATCATAAATATTCTAAATATATTATGCAAACGATCAATACTACACGTTTTCTCGTGAATATCTACGTTTATCACAAGGATTTACTCATGTGGAAATGTTTTATTGACGTTTAATAGAGGTTTTTCGTAACCATACACTTTTTGGTAAGTATGCATAAAATAAGTGCAGACTATAAAGATAAATCTTCGGATTTTCATGAGAAATACACTACCCAGCAAAGGGTATGGGAAAGTAGATTTTAATGATATGCAATAGAAAAATAGTTACACTTATCATAAATATAATATTCTAAATAAACGAAAGAATCAATACTAAAAGTTTTCTCTCTTTTCACCGTCAATTTATCGGCAATGATTTACTTATGCAAAACTGTTTTCTTTACAAAAATATCAGTAAATCCTGATTCTCTGACTCGGTAAAGTCTACGGCGCTGGAAAAATAGAACATTTAACAAACTTTTCACATTTTAGTACATTGAACAATATCATATACACTTTCATGTTTCATCACGTATAATGATAAAGCTAAATAAACGATATGGTGTCTAACAGTAATTAAATCTCTTGAATTAGTTAATTAAAAACCCTAGCTGGTTGGGAATATAGAAATAAACTTACCACCATGAGAAAAAATCATCACCCTTCCACTCTTTCAAAGCACATGTGTGAATTCTAGAAATCAAAACCCGTGTCTTTTTGCTGAATGCGAACTTCGTATTTACAATCACAAGCTCCAACGCAGACGTCATTCCTGTCCCACGTAACCGCAATGTTCATAGTTTTTTTTTTTAATTGACGAATGTTTATTTCAGGAGTGTTTATTGTGGCATGACGTATCACAACAAAGATTACGAAACGCGAGCTAGCCACAAAACCACAAGCTTATTAACCGTATTGCTGGCGGATTAGTTTTCTCACGCCTGATTGGATTTTTTTGAAACAATAACATTCAAGATATATTTCTGGTGTTCAAGGTTTTGTTAGTTCGAAAGTAAAGAATATAAATTTCTAAAACTCGTTGCACTCAGAGCACTCGTCGTTTTACTGCAGAGCTATTTCTTTCACATTTTATCCTCCCACAGACGTGCTCAGTTTCACTCGTCACCAATGATTGGGGAGCAATCATAGCGTGACGAGCCAATACTAATAATAAGGCTATGTAATGGAGCAGAAACCTAAGATAAAGAAGACAAAGGTTAAACCTCATATGGGATGAAAAACAAGCCAACTGTCTTTTTCGTGCTATTGTCGCTTACTTTGAATATGCAAACACCTTCGCGCTTGACCTGATAATCGTGTGACGTCGTCACATGGCCAAGAAAGTGGATGAATTGAGCATTGACAAGTCGTACTACGCACGTTAACCAATATAGCCAAAACTAAAAATAAAATATGGTAACTTAAAGAAGTTATTTTTCATATCAGTAGAATTTTAAAGTAACTAAACATCATTATGATTATTCGCTTCAGTAGAATGATTTTACTTAACCCATAAAAAAGTATCTGACAATTACCGAGTAGCTTCAAATAATCAAAAGAAAACGATGTCATTAGAGCCTCATATACAGCGTAGAAGTCCACTATCTATTTCACTGGTTAAATAAAATCACCCCATGAATGAATAAATAGCTTATTCACAAGTTAAGGAGACGTCTTGTACAAGCCTAGTTGCACGCGTTTTCTTCGGGTGTGCGCATATTTCTGCTCGCTTGACCGCCACGTTAAATCCCATTTGTCCTAACCCCTACCCGAAGGGTCTCTACTTCCACTCTCCCCAGTCTTCTTATCTTATAGATTCAAAGATGGCGGCCACGGCAATTGCTTTGTCTCCTCACGCAACGCCGTGACGAGACGAAGAACAACTGCATGGGCGACTAAAAGCACCCTTGCCCGCCCAAAAATACGGCTGCACTGCAGCCTGTTTACGACGAGAATCTTAAAAGAATAAGAGATCCGGCAAAAAGAAGTACCAACTGATTCTTGTTCTGCGTTATGTGGTTCCCGGTGTTCGTTTTTTAACTATATAGCCGTATCAATAGGACTACCCCCGGATGGTATCAGTAAGCATCCAAGCTAAATATAAAAGATACTATAAAGAGCGTTTAACGCCAGCTTCAAGAAATTCATGCACAAAATAGGCTTAACGGGCAAGGCGGCCTTGCTTTTTCTTCCTTTCACTTCCAACGCCACCTCCGCCAAGCTGGCTGCTGTGACACACGTTGCCAACATACGCCACATCGACATACTTTCCTTTCTCTTTATGGATGACGAATCGCACTTTCACATTGCACTCTGGTCGCTTGCATTCTGCGCCTCCTCTGAAGAAAACCGCTGAGTGGATTTTGCGCGAGTTTTCTGATCTCACGTGATTATTTTTGAAGCGTAAACTGCACCATGGGTTGCTTTCTTTAACTTTTTCAAGGAAGATTCTTGTCCAGTCGCCACTCAACAGTCGGCCACCGCTTGGGAAGGTATTAATTGGAATCCTTTCCCAGTCTTCTCGGGTTAATTTGAACCTTGCTGTTGTGCCATCGATATTTACACGAAAGTACTTTTCTTCATTTCCTTCTTCGTCATCGTCGGACGAATCTGAATCAACCTTCAAAGAATTTCAAACCGGTTACTAGTTTGTTTTGATTTTTGTTCGTTTGTTTTTTTGAATGCCAGTAACCAGTAAACGCACAGGCTGATAATGATCCCAACGTAACAACCCACTGAATTCACAAGGTATGTAATGAAAACAATGCAATGAAATGTCATGTATAACCCCATTTAAAATAATCCAAGACCGTCTCGGATTCTGAATTCCACGTTGGTACTGGATTCCAGATTCAGCGGGATTCCAACGGAATCCTTGAGCAAGATTCCGGTTTCAAAAGCCCAGGGGCGCGATCTATTCAACCAAAATTTCCGAAAATTTCAGTCCAAAAATCAATGGATCAGTTCGGTCCAACCGAACAAACGGGTCCACATTTTGAGGTGGACCACTTTTCCCAGCTGGACCTGTTGGAATTTTGGTTGAATGGATCGCGCCCCAGGATTCAGGATTCCAAAAGCAAAAAACTAGTTTTCGGGATTCCGGAATCAGAATTACCTTACATGGGACGAAATGTAATTCAATGCAATATTTAAACAAAACAACTTTACCTTCGAGTTTGCGCCCACAAAAGCGTGATCCAACTTGGCAGGTACCATGATTACTGAAGGCCGCTGGCTTTTCATGTCAACAGCAGCCATATGAGATGGTTGTGGAAGTTGTAAGTGACAGGGACATTGACAGCAAGGCTTAACCAGGAGTCCCATCTCATGCGCTGTTAAAGCTCTATGGGTTCCACTGTATGTTGGTAATCCTTGGTACGGCGAAAGCCCTACACTGGAAGCCACAAGCGCATATGGCATTTTCCCGTAAAAATTCGACCGGTACGCGGGCAATCCCTCGGGTCCACCATTTTGTTGAAGGAATGTTTTTCCATAGTTCTTGTTCTTGCTGTTGTTATTACTATATATATGCTGGGTACCATTTTGAATATCATGACTATTTTCTGCGGCACTCACAGGATAATACTGCCCTTCACGTCCGTTGATCTCATAAATTGGAACCACTGTGAACGCGTTTCCTATCTGTATTTCAGGTGTATCCATGGAAACTGTCGTATGGTTTGCAGTTGAGTAAGTAACGGTAATCTGCTTACTTGGAAACATATCGCCTGATTGGGTAGTCGATACGTTATTGTACGGTGCCAGGCTGTTGGTTGATAGTCTCTCAAGAGAGGTTCTGTCGCCTTTCAAGGTCGTATCGTACTCACTTACTTTACCATGCACTGTATTGTTATTGATAGGAAAATCTTCAACAGATGATTTTGCCTGGCAATGCAACCGATCCATGTCTCCTTGGTCATTACTTTCACCTTCGTCAGAGTCCACTGGTTCAATTTTTGGGCAAACGCTTGTGATGTCGTGTAGTGAATACATGATTGACTTGGTATAGACCAGTCTTATGGCAAAGTCTAAATTACTGAACGCTTCTCTTAAACCGACAACCGCGTGAAGTTTTTAGGCAAACCAGGGCAGGATGTCTTCACCAAGTAAACTAGGAAAAAAGAAGCAAAAAATTATCCAGAGCTGTAAATAAATGCAAAATTTAGATCTTTTTCTCCTTATAATACATTACCTCTTTCATTTACTCACATCGTAAAACTGAACCAAAGTTTATACAATTGAAGGCTTTTCAAGCGTCCTTTAATTTACACCTAGCTCGATGAACCCGACAGTGATTTCAGCGTAATACCATAAGAAAAAGAGTCTCTTTTTATTCGAGCAGAGGAACTCTTTCACACCCAGTCTTATTCAGCAACCAGAGATTAAAGGTTCAAGTCTAAGCTGAGTCGACTTTAATTCAAAAAATGCATGGGTCAAGGAGGCCTCAAGGAGCATTGTTCCCAATCACTAATAGAAGAACTAAATTTAGAAGTCTGTTTTGCGTGGCAGACAAGCTAATCGCGCGAACAATTGAAAAGGTCTAGAGCTTTCAAGCGTGCAATCCAAACAAAATCTCTCTGGAAGGAAGACGTACAGCGTGTTCTGTAAGAGTGTCACGAGCTTAGAACAAGGGCAACATGGTTCTCAAGGGAGAAATCTGCCTTGACATGTTCGCGGTCGGGTCATGGATTCATATTCTGTCAGTGACTCTGACTTTTACCTTGAGTCAATTTCAAAAAACCTTTAGAAGTGTGATTTACAAGTGAAGCTATAGTTTAAGAATAGCCACCTTGTGGATGACATTTGATAAAGTTTTACTGAATTGACCCCAAGATTCCCCGATCTCAAGCTAAAATAAACGGGTTCGTCTTCATAGCTGTGACGTAAAAAAAATCTAAATAAGCGCATTGATCTGAAAAAATATGCAATCGTAATCTCGCTGTGTGCCACGAGTTCAGGTCAAGGAAAACATCTAAGTCCCCGAAAGGCACATCCGCCCCGACCGGTCTTTGGGAGGCCGTGGATTCATATCCTCACGGGGACTTTGAAAATATATTGAGGAAACTAATTGTGTTATGCACTAGATTGTGAGAAGTTCTGTTTTCGTGCTTTCGTGGGTGGCTTAGTGAAGAGAGTGAACGGGCTGCCAACTGCGATCATGCCCTCCCTATATCTCCATTATGTCTTTCGTGTCTCTTTTACCCTAGCTTCTCAAAAAAAAGCTTGATCTCAGGTTAAGAAGGGAACTATATTCAGTAAATATGATTCATTCCTGTTTTCGGTGCCAGTACCATTTGTCGGAAAATTTTCACCTTAGTGAGCCCACGACGACCGGAAATACGTCTCTGTCTGCTGGCTATCTGTTGAGCGAGACTAATTTCAAATAACTTCTACAATAAAATTGCCGTCTCCTTCTCATATCACTGCTGAATCAATGAGGCTAAAAACCATGATCAGGGAATCCTCTTGATCAATCCAGGGGATCGGACAAGAAAGAACTGACATCTGACTGCAGTACTGATCGAAAATACAACTTACAGGTTAACTGATCAATGATTAACTCTGCTTAATGTTCACATGGACAGCTTCGATCTGAAGCTTAAAGCTATGAAAGACTCTGTGAATACTATTGTCTACCGTAGACTACATCAAACGTTCCGAACAATTCATACCATCGCCCTAAACAGAACCCTTTTCACGCTGTAAGTGTTCAGTCGCAACTAAATTTTACATAAAAAGCCGCAATGAGTATTGCAACTGTAATCAACAATCATTCTTTTTTCTAGAAATGAAACAAAGTATGGAGGACTTTATTTCCCTCGAACGTGAATACATGGAGGAATGGCCAAACGATGACTTAACCACTCAGAGGTGCCGGTTTCTTCGCCAATGTTTTACCGATGATGAAAAAATCGCCTGCTGAATCATTTTCTAAAGCCAATATCACTGTTTTATAATGCCCAAACGCTTGAAACAGGAATCAGATAGTACAGCGCAATAAAAATGCAGTTTCAAACAAATGAAGGTCGGCTGATTGTTTCTTCAAGGAAATAATACTTCGTATATATAAATAACTCATCCCCAAAAATCACGAAACAAAATTCACTAAAGAATTTATCGCTGATTTAGCACTGATGATAATGAATGGGTACTGCCATTTATTAATAACTTTCTTATTATTCAATTTGCTCTTACCCAGTAGTTGTGTCTTCGAGAAAGGCAATGATTTTGCTCGACTACCGCAAAACGCTGCTTGCACACGATGGCTTTGCCAAAAACGTGTCGTAAAAGTGCCAGACGTGAAGCGTATGGGTTGTGATGTTAGGGCTGCAACGTTAAATTTAGAGCCTCTAGAAATATAATCTTTAAAATCCCTAGAAAAGATCCCGTTACGAAATTTTGACCTCTTTCGTTAATTGAGTTATGGGTTGAGATATTTCAAGACTTGGGACGCACGCCTCCTCCACATGACCTCTACATCAGGTGGATCGAGCCTTTAGGGCCATAACTACGCCTATCTTGCGAGCAGAGGTTTCTTTCTGGTATGGTTTTAGCATCTCTTAAGTCGTTCGCGCGGCTTGTCAGTCACGTAGTTGGTTTGTTTACGCGATTGAAAAGCCACGCGAACGACTTTACAAATGCTAAAAGCCATGCCAGAAAGAAACCTGTGCTCACAGGGTAAGTACATCGAGCGACTCTGCTCATATCATTGTTATCATGAAAGGCAAAAATTTCAAATGTTAATGCTCGGCCTGCCCCTGCAAGGGGTAATATTCTAAATGAACTTTAATTAATAGGTCCCCTTGTACAAAGCAAGTAGAAAGGAAACATCAGACGCGGATAGAGTAGAGAAAACGATTACCCATTAAACAATTTAGGTATCTGCCTTCAGGAGAGAATTGATTTCGGCAATTAAGTAAAAATACAATTAACAATTATCTCGCGCCCTGAGTAAACATATACTCGATCATTATTCATCTCCAGCGTGGGAATGCATTCATGAATAGCGCGTCCCTTTACAGGTTATCTAAAGCGATAGCGCGATATACATGAAGAAACTAGGAAAAGTTTGCGAAAAAATGTAGAAAAATGTTTAATTTCAAACGAAATGTTCGATTGCTGTGTTTGTAATTTTAAGCTGGCGCATTCTTGTGGAATGTGATTCCGTGACCCTAGCCTGTTGGGAGTAAGTTCAAAGCCAGCAGACAGTGTCAAGGTTTTGGGTCTTTTTAACCTCGCTGTCCAAATATCATCTGATTCTGAGGTCTTTAAAAAACTACTAACTGGACTTAACGTTGGCATTTACTTTAAATAAAGCATGCAGATATGTTTCGTTGTCGAGATTTGTTCGAAAACATGTCGGGTCCTACAAAAGCGCATTAGTATTTGCTCTTGCATGATCGGCCCACCTATTTCCATTTACGTAACACTGAAATCAGATGAATAACCGAATCTCTGCTTGATGTATACAACGTTTGATATCTCTCAGGCTCAGAGAAAATCATTAGCCATAAAAGTAACACTGGCAATTGACGAGACAAACTTTATAAGCAACAGAGAAACCTAGAAACGCCAAAAACTTACCTTCAAATCAGAGGTGAGCGTCCTTCCACCGGAGTATAATATTACATGCATGAAGTGACACATTATATCACAAGGTTAAGAGTCATCAAAGCAGCGTATCCCTGACAAGTCTATGGGAGGGGAGGTTACGGCCGTTTTGGTCCCCCATTTTTACGTGCGTACGTGCGTAAAATTTACGTTCGCAAATAAAATGAGGCAACGGTATGAAAAGTCGCTCGTAAGCTGGTAAAAGTTGAACCTCGTTTAACTTATTGTTTAAGCTCAGCCCTTTTTATCTTGCCTCTATTTAAATTACGTGATTAAAATTTTTGTGCGTTAACGTGCGTAGCCAAAAAAGCGTCAGTGGAAATCAACCTTGACATAAATTTTGAAAGCAGTTTTCAGAAATGCGACATACCATTTCATTCAGTGGGAAGAACCGGTTTTGCTTCCTGAAACTTTGGGGGTACACCAGGCACGTAAATCCGAGGGTGCGTGTGTGGGAGTGAGGGTACATTTGTGTGTCGTACGTGAGGGCCAGGCGTGGGGGCTCCGCCTGAGAAGGGTAACTTTAATTTCCGGCTTCAGGCTGTTGAGTCAGTTTCTTCAGGGTAGGGAAATCATTTTAATTTGTTATCAAGGTTTTCCCGTGACAACATCCAAGGGTTTAGAAATAAAAGTAGGAGCCCATGGGCTCCTGAAAGAACGTTGATGTGTGAAAGGGATACGTAGCATTTTGATGGAAACTAGACGAAAAGGTATACCTTTCGTACCTTTCTGTCAAAATGGTATGTCTGAAAGGGTAAAGGGAAGGGTTGGAGCTCGAGTGGGAGCCCCCCCCCCCTTATAAAACTCATGTTCTTCAGTACCCCTGCCCCCCACCACCTCCTCCGTCGCTCCCCCTCCCCCTCGCCCTCTCACTGGGAAGAAAAACGCTAATTCCCGGCCTTTTACTTTCAGAACTTTGCCTCTGACGCAGATCATAGAACAGAGAGAGAGAGAGAGTCTATCAGTGATCTCTTAGTTGAACGGATCATTTGGCTTCTGAAATATTCACCCGTATTCGCTGCAAATCGAGAATGAAAAACCGAGTTTCGAGCAAGGTGGGTTGAAAACGAAGACTGAAGACCAAACAACGGCTGCATCAAAATCTCTTTAAGACTCGGCTCGAAGAGACTATCTGGACTTGAAATGCGTAAGAAACAACAAGATCTTCAATGACCTAAATTATCAACGGATTTTATCGGGGCCAGCCCCCGCTAAAGTTGAAAACGAAGACCCAAAAAGACTACTCAGAACTTTATTGATCACGTGGTAAAGTAGATGAATTACGTGGGCTCGATTAACAGCCGCTGTTCAGGAACAGAGCCCGCGCTCTTCCCCGTCTCTTCTCGGGAAGAGGGACCTTACGAAACTTAACCACGGCGACAGCATCGGGAACGTCAAAAAAGCAATAGGCTTAATGAGCAAAACAACAATTCTGCACGTGCATGACACTTTTTTGTACATTTCTTTGCCGTCCCTGCATAACTAGGACGTGAGTTGACCAAATTTAAGATTACTTGGGAACGGAAACGGCAAGGCGATAAATTCTACCGTCTGTCTGTCAGAACTCGGAAACGGCCACCTCTCTTCAGCTCCAACCCAAATTCGTTCTTTTTAAGTAATTGGGCCCCTTGGGATAATCGCGAAAAAAGTGAAAGGATGTGAAGTCTATTTTTCAGCGACGCTTTTATGGACGTCGCCGAAGGACCGAGAGAACGGCTGAAATCAAGGCGAGTGTACACGGCGACAAACTGCGTCATCGGAAGCAAAGACTCAGAGCTACGATTTAGCATAAACGAACCTCTTTTGCTGAAGTCTCAAATAAACCTCATTTCAGTTGTATGTCTTGTTTTCCCAATAGAGATCCAAGGGTTTTTTTATAAATTACGCGTACATGCGCGGGAATAATACAAAATTTGGAAGAAACAGTTCTCTGGAGTATTATCACATGACCTGTACTGAGAAAATAAAACATACAAGCTAACGAGGTCTATTAATTACATTTTTATTCAATTTGGCTATTTCCTTCGGCTTTCAACAACTTAAAACTCTAAGACACTTAGATGCAAGCTAAGAACTGTCAATTTCTTTTGAAAACGGCAGCCGTCTCAATGACACCGCGGAACAATTAAATAAAAACGCTTGGCCAAGGCACCGTGAAAACAAATACTCTCCTTGATGCTGTTGCTTATGACAGTACTGAGTTATCATGACAGTCAGGAAGGGTAAAGAATATTAAGAAAACGAATTAATTATTACTTACAACAATATTCTTACCTTGAAATGCACATATGTGAAGTAAAAAACTACAGGGCTGTGCGTCAAATGGTTAGTCCTTTAAAGCTTACAACAATATATGACAACTTGAATAAAGCTTTGAATCGTCAAATCTATGATGTCGGCCCGGGCTTGTTTTGATTACAGATCAGTGGTAAGGAAGGAATAAGGAACATAATGCTTATTGTAAGGTCCATTAAATGAAAACTACAGCGTGCGGCAACAAATGATGAATTTGGCATATGACAAATTCACTCTATTTCCATCACGAGATGCAAATAAGTAATTAGGGGAGCAATTAATTATCTTCAATCTTAACGTGTGCCAGAGTCAAACAAAGCCGATTGATGAACTTTGTATCAAGTGTTGGACTTCAACCGTGAATCGAGAAGGGAACCTATCTTTGTTCTGTAAAAAATAATGCCCGGCAACGTACCGATAAAGCCATGAGCGGGTAATTAACAGGCTTACTCATTACTAAGGTTACCAAAAGAATGCGATTCTGCACGACTCTTCCTGAAACTATATCTGAGACAAGGAAGGCGATATATAGCTACACAAGGAATCGCAATATCGACCTGCTATAGACTTCCTGTATTATCAATGTATTAAAGGAAGTTATTTACAGCCTTCTCGCAGGGCTACAAACTAGTTCTTTTGTGTTCTTGAAATAGTTTGAATCCAATTCGGTTTGATATACGAAGGACGGCTTAGCGCGAGTTAAGGCTTGAGTTAAGTGCTCAACATCTGATTCTGAGATCTCGAAAAAAACCCTAAACGCAATAAGCATTGCTTGAAATTATGCATGTAAAATGTGCCGTTATCACGTTCAGACCTTATAAGCCTAGACGCTTGCTTGCTCTAGTCGTTGTCAATTCGTCACCGTATTTTTTTCTGATTGCACCAAGTCTGATCACTGAGGAGTTTGAGCCGGAGTTTTGTTAAACATTGCTGGCATCTCATTCCAAGCCCCAGAACAATAGTAGCCAGGAACTTGACCTTGATCTATTATTAACAAAAAAAAAAGACCGGGCCGTTTTAAGCGACAGTGCCGACCGAACATATAAGCACCAAAAACCCTACCTTGAAATCGCAGACTTGAAGAAAGCTATTCAGTCCACGCAACTGAGCACCACATTATTGTGTGTTAGCTAGTGAAACACTACGCATGAGGCAGCAGATCTTTGAACAAACAATTTAACCCGTTCAACAGGATTGTAACGTGGACGTGATTGTCGTCATTTCCGGCTCTCTTCAATTCTCGTTTCCGTAGTTTATTTGACAGTTATTTCAGTAATGCGACACAAAATTTTATTAGCAAGGTATCTGGCGAGCAAGATGAAATCTTGAAGGCCCGCTTCATCCCACAATAGAGCCAATATGTCCTCAACCAAGGAATCAAGCGGTGGTTACTACATAAAACTTACACTGTTCTAGGTAAACTGAGGCCTAAACGCAACTCCAATCTGGAAAAACACAACAGACTCTAATTGCTTTTGTCATCTAGGGAGCTCTTCCGTCCTGAAAATGAATCACGTTTTCGATGACAGGAAAAAAATCCTTGTAAAAATTGGAAAACACAACAAAGAAAAAGTTATCTTATAGTTTTCCAATTTATATGAACTAGAAAACATTTGAAGCATCAGTGGCTGAATGCCATTAAGTATGTATTAGCTATCATGACCTTTATATCAAAATTCACTGCACTTCGAAACAATGGCCAATTTTAGAGGGAACAGATTTTTTAAAACATTTTAACTATGGAAAAAAACTGCGATAGAATATTTCTTGAAATTATTTTGAGAAATTTGGAAAAACCTTAAAAACATGACGACGTTTCGACGATCTCGGACGTCATTATCAAGTCAAAGAAATTAGCTTAAACATGTCCTATAAATAAAAGAAAAAACAATAGATCATTAAAAATAAAGGTAACTAAGTAAGCGAGGCATTTCAAGTACGCAAAGCACCTCAAGTAAGCAAGGCATCTCAAGCAAGCAAAGCCGACCTCAAGTATCTAAAGTAAACTCCGCCGGAGTTTACTTTAGACTCGCCGGAGTTTACTTTAGATACCTGAGGTGCTCTGCTTGCTTGAGATGCTATGCTTACTTGAGGTGCTTTGCGTATTTAAAATTCTTCGCTTACTTTATTGCAAGTAGGGAAAGGCCTGGAACTAGAGGGAGAGTATATGTTGGCTTTACTTGAAATACTTACCAGACAAAGTTTCGCACTTATGGACAGTCTCTCTGCGTATTAAGATTAGGCCTGAGTTTTTTGATCCACAACATCTTGTAAACTGTGGCGATCAAATTTTACGAGGCACTTCTTTAGAACGTGAAATTGACCGGCATTCAGAAGAGTTTTGTCATCGTGAGCTTCTAAAACCCCCCGGGGGGGGTACTCGATATATCCCAGGGTGGGGAGGTGCGGCGCGGCCCCTCATACCCTGACCCTGTTTAAGGGACTGTGCAATAATTATTAGGAGGGGGGGCTGAAAAACTAGAGTTATCTAGCAAAAACTTAGAATGCAGTACCCCCCCTCCAAAACAAAAAAAATTAGTTCTAACCCCCCCCCCCCTCTGTTATGTTAAAAATAACGTCGCACCCCTCCCACCACACTGGTAAACTCAAAACTGGACTGAGCTGCCATCACAGCTTCAATAATGACAAACGTTATTACGTAACATCTAGTATCGAGAAGGATATTGATCGCTTGATTGAAGATTTAGACAAAGCTTTTGCTAAGTACCGGGGTGCTTACCACATTGGCTCAAAATATAACACTTCTGAAGCCAGAAAGAGAAAGGAGCAGAGAAAAAAAATCAAAGAACAGGAGATTGAACGCTTCAAATAACAGAAGAAAAAGAGCTTGCATTATATTTAGATCCTTGGGAGGAGAGCCTGTTGAACTTTTGTTATGAGCCACATATATATATGGAATTCAGCAAATCGATTCAGTCGATGAAGAAACATTACTTTTATTCACATCAAAAACCGACAAAGCTTATCTATGAGATCTGTTTGATTCCCATTGTTTTATGGGGGAAGCTGAAAAACAAGTTCATGATTTTTGCTTTATATAGGATCAACTCAATTAATTAGAAGACGGGTTAAAATTGATCAGTTGTGAATTTGCTTTTCATTTTGATGGAATATTTTCAATAATCGTTTAACAGCTGTTCGGGTTGATATTTGTTACAGTCTATCATGATGTCTGTATTGAGAATCTTTCATTGCGTTTAATTTTATTTACATTACGAATAAAACTTAAGGCCCCCCCTCCGTCAAATGAGTGATTTTACTTTGAGCCCCCCCTCATTGGCAGCAATTTTATGTAATGCCCCCCTCTAGTTTTTCAGCCCCCCCTCCTGATAATTATTGCACAGTCCCTAAGACAAATATCGCTGATTTTCCTACACCGATCGCCAAATATTTGTGTTCAGCAAAAAGAAGAGAACGGAACGACAATTCAGACACTTTGCGTTAGATAAATGAATATTTCGATTTAATTTCGTTTGTTAAGACACTGAGTATATGCACGTTTTGTACCGAACTTGTGGGGTACACTCTAAACTCACGAACTCACAAATTGTACTCGACAAATCCTTGTTTTTATTCTCCTCGTGGTTTTCCAACGCGTCGCTAATATTTGTTCTATCTCTCACACACACAAACCTATTGTCTCATCTCAAAACGTCTCCGGTTGCAAAACTCGTGATCCTAGCCTAAACGTGCTTACGCAACTTCCGTTCAGTTTTTGCCTTGCGAAACCCTATAAACGAGGTAAATTTACTGAAATGTTTATATTACACGTTAGGATTTCGGCACAAAGTGGCTAGTGGCCCGAGCTAGTGCAGCTGAATTTGCTACCCTGTACTAGAGTAAACTCCCCGAATCCCCCTATCCTAGAGTAGCTGTTTTCCAGAAACTACTGAGGTCACTAGCACAGTCTAGCCAAACAAAACGTTATACCACAATCCCTAGTCTAGATAAAATCTTCAACTTAACTGATCAGTTTCCTGAAAAATGATATCCTATTCTAGACCCAAACGCTCTGATTTATATACCCTATCCTAGAGTAAACTGCTTGAAAACCATACCCTTCACAGCGGCACGTACCTATATAGCCCATATGTGGCAGTACCCTCCCCCCCCGGACTGCAGCATTGTTCAGTCACATTAATGGTGTTTTGTTTTTAGAAAGTGTATGAGGCATTTTCAGGGGCGTAGCGTGACTATTTTGGCCAGTACACGCACGGGTCCATATGGTCCCAAAAACTTCGTATAAAATAACGTTTTTGCCCCCAAATAACGTTTTTTATACAAGTTTCCATTCCGACCTGTAGCATGTTTAATTTCGAAAATACAGCAATTTGAACTTCCCAGTTTTCACAGTGCGTGACACCAACATAGGAATGCTATCTCGTTGAAAAAAAGTCTCTCCTCTTGATTTTCAGCAGTATAACTATTTCAAGCATTAGAAATATGTTTATGTGCACGTATGCTAGTTCTCGAGTGAAAAGAAAGAGCTGTCATACAAAAAGTGAAATCCAGATGTTTTATTGATTTCCAGCGACCATATTGGTGGACCAAAACGGTACACCAATATGGCGTCTCCATGCAAAACAAAGGTGCGTGAAACGTTTTGGCAAATAACTCAGAAACTATGGGCCACAAAGACCTGAGACTTGGACAAATTGTTTATATATTAGTCTTTTATAATATTCATTTTCTGGCTTCTTCCAGTGGACGGTTTCCAATTTATTTTTTGTTGCGTGACAGTGCTTTTAAACGTTCTTCTATGAGCTATTACTGGAATGTTTACAAGCACAAGGCGAGGCGCCTTCCCTAAATAAACTTCCGATAAAGCGCTGAATAATTCACACGAAATTCAAAACTTGTTTCAAATAAGATGTTTCCTTCAAATGCTAAACGAAAAATTAGCAAACCATTTTATGTTAAGAATAAAAGATTAGCTCTACTGTCGCTTTTATTTTTTCGCTTGTCACTCAAGAAATATGTCCACTTAAAGCGTACTTTTTGTGTGCAGAAATTTGGAGTTTAACCCTTTAAGCCTCAATATCCACATACAAATTCTCCAAACTGATCTATATACATTTCCTTTAAGAATTAGTTAAGAGAATTTGATAAAAGATCAAAGTGTTTTCTCTTAGGTGATCATTTTTTAATTCTCATAACCTCATCTCACGACAATGTATGGATATCGTTAGGAGAAAATTGCTGTTGGTCCCTATTGGGACTTAGAGGGTTAAATGCACCGGTTGAAAGAATTGCGACGTTGCGTGGCTGTGTAAATTTTCCGCATGGTCTGGTCCATGATTACCCAGTTGAGCGACATTAAATAATCTTAATTGCTAGACTTTTTCGCCATTTATATAGAGAGAGAAATTAAAAAGAATCAATTGCTTTTGAATGAAAAAACTTTCCAGATAAATCTTGAAAAGGAATTATAATCAGTCAGGTTCGATTCTTTGCGGCGACAAATGAGTTGGCATGAATTTCCCCAGTCCTCCTTCGTTTTTCTTGAAAAAGCAATGTATTGTGAAAAATGTTTCAAATTTATCACATTCCGCTTCTCAAACTACTCAAACTGTTGTTTTTTACGATGCGGAATAACAGCGAGACATCGACAGACAGGATCATATTTGCACAATACAAGGTCAAGACAAGACAAGACAAGACAAGACAAGAGGCATTTTTTCGCTAGAGGCATTTGTTAATTTCCGCATTAAAAAGAAACAGTCCACTTTCTGCTGCGTGTAATTCAAGTTTTCCTTAACAGAGGTTGGGGAAAAAGTGCGCTCTTACGACATGGAACATAACAGTTTTACACCCGATTCGAAACGAATAAACAACTACAATATCATAATTGGCACTGAGCTTCGAAATTTTCATAATTACATTGTAATTCGAAATGACGCTTTTCACTCCTTATATGGGATTTAGTGATTTTCTTGAATGCTTAGATGTGTCAGTTGAACATAAATATTCAAATTAAAGCATGGACAAAAAACTTCAATTGGCTGTAAAATGGAGAATACTTAATAAGCTGGTCGACAAAATGGTGCCCTGTTATGTCCCGAACTGCATGGGAACAATTTAATTTCTAAGCCGACAGCGTGACCTGTCGCATTGCTGAAAGCTAGTCAGTAAAAAATCAGAACTTTACTTATGACTCAATTTATCGTTTTGATATGAGGTTAGCAACGCACCGGAATCACAATATTGTTCGCCAGTATTTCTTTGAATTGAAGGAAGTAAAGATTAGTGGTCTTTGCATACTCGACTCAAATTTATCGGTTACGTTGCTAATACGCATGCCAATACGCCCTGATGACGAACAGATCCGTCATCCACATCTTAACAAAATAACCGTAACAGCCAACTGGTCCTCGAAACGAAGGCCAGCTGCTTCGCCGAGCAAAGTATTGGTGGGGTAGGGAGGGGGAGTCTGCAAAGTTCTAATTGGCTGTATCTTAAGGGGCTGTCACTTTCAGTTTACTTAGTGCTTAACAAAGGTTACTTTTTCTCTAAGAGAACAGCTGGAGGGATGGAAAATGCCTTGAAACGAAAGAAATGTCTGGTTTTCCGCGACATGGGAATAAAGTTCCTGCTTTTCCTCTGAAGACTTTCGGTAGAACGAATTTTTGCTTAAGATATGTAATATAGCACTGTTTGTATTGCCCACCCCACAACCCCCCTTCCCTGAGTATGTTTATTAATCACGCTCGGCTGCTCGTGGTGTGGAAGGTTATTTCGGATAAGAACAGAAGATTGGTCACTTAGAAAAATAAGTTGTCACTATTTGGAGGGTCTTTCTTCTTGGACAAGTTTGAATTTTTAAAAAAAGAGAAACTGCGAGGCAGCGAAAATATTTATTTGTTTTGGCTCTCGAAAGTTCCATAGACTGTACAGAGAGTCAGATTCTAGTCTATATTAAGCCGGGTCTACTGGAAAATTCCAAGGTGAGCGGATAATTTACTCGAACTTATTACATTCTTAATTATCATGCTCGGTTTCATTGCTTTCTGCGGATACGGCATGATGAACACGTCAAGTTATCGCAATTGTTTTGCGCTGTGCTGTGTTACTTAGTTATCAGAGAACGAGCACTCAATATCCAACTGATAACTGTACTTGGAGAAACAGATGTGAGATATTAGGTCAGAATTTCTAGAACATTATGCCTCCTAACAATCAGTGAAAAAAATGAGTGACTCCGAACAGTTTCATCCTTTTTTCAAAAATGGTCTTCAAGACAGTATTGACAAAATAGAATTCTTAGATGATAGATCATTGGATTCACTGAAAAAGGAACTCTAGCTCTCGCTGGAAATTTTGAACTCTAGCCTAAAGCACGCGGGCGACAAGATCACTAAGTTGCTTCAGTCAACTCAATGTTTTGACAATTTAGATCAACGAACTGTATAAAGCGCAAAAACATGTTGACAGTAATTATAGAAGTGATTCCTCCTTAACTAAACTTATACACTCACCTATTCAGCTGATGATTGACTGAACTGATTTCTCCATTTAATTTGAAATCTTCGTAAACGGAATGTGAATCCGTGAATATCAAACATTAACTGAGCTCGTACCCAAAAATAACTTCAATCTGTTTTCTCAGTCCATTTCGTGATCACGTGTTTCAGCAAGATACACAGTCTATATTTGGTCTGTAATTGAGGCTTTTGCGGAACTAAGGTAAGTTTTATCGCTCACCTCCGTCACCGTAACAGCAAATTAGCCACAGATACAGAGAGATATGGGACAAGAGCTTCAACTCCTAGCCAGGCAGAATCGGAATTCTAATAAGGAACTATAGAGGTGATCCTAATTAGAAACAAAGACAGCTATGATTTGTTTTGACGAAGTGCCATTTGAGACACCGTCGGAGCTATTGTCTTCCAAGAATTAATCCAGACCCAAATGAGCATTAATAGAATGAAAAAATGCAAAACAAAGCACAAATGTTGTATTTTTTTTTCCAGACAGCAAACCTGCACCCAACTTAACAAGATAACACAGGCGTACTGGCCGGGGGGGCGAGGGGGCGGCAGCCTAACCCCCCCTCCCCCCTCCAAGGTTTCGAAAATTTTGACAGTCTTCGGGCAAAACGCTAATGATTTGAAGTACCTTGAAACTTTCTGACGGTTAATCTTAATCTGCATGATTTGTCGGTTGCATTGACGGTAAGAAATGTCCATTTTTGACGGTTAACGGTTGATTTTGAGGCCAGTTGACGGCTGATGGTTAAGACCCTCTAGCGACATGGAAAAGCTCGATACGAGTGCAATAGAGGGTAAGGTTATTAAGTGTGTTCCCACAATCGATCAAATGTGACTGCTAAAGACAGACGGACTCCAAAACCTAGTCAGCATTGGATTGCCACCCAAAACAAAGGGAATTCAAACCTGTTAGCTTTCAAATGCAGTTGAACCTCGATTACCGTAAAATTCCGAAAATAAGCCCCTCCATGTATAAGCCCCTCCAAATATAAGCCCCCTAAGATCGTAACGCAAAAAACCCTCCGTTAAATCGCCCCTCCGAATATAAGCCCCCCGGGGGACTTGTACTTGGAATCTGCCCTCGAATACAAAGTAAAACAAAGCAAAAATGGTAAATTTCCTTTCCACTACAATCTAGCCCAACCGATTTTATAACGCAAATTTCCCTCCGTACATAAGCCCCTCCGAATATAGGCCCCTCCAAAAATAAGCCCCTCAAAAAGGGCCTTTGAAAAATATAAGCCCCGGGGCTTATTTTCGGAATTTTACGGTAACCTATTCATACCAGGGTTGCTTCACGGGGGGAGGGGGAGTACTTCCATATATGGGCTAGATAGGTATGTGCCGCCCAACAGGGTATGGTTTTTGAGGGTCTCCACCCTTATATAGGGCATCATTTTTGGCCTTTTTAGAGTTGTTATCCCAGTGTGGCTGTTAGATAGGGCACCTTTATTATATCAGCTAGCATTCACAAGTGCGTAAATTCCCAGCTACAACAGAGGCAAATTATCAGTTCAAACTGAACTTTACCTTAGAATAAAGCGATTTAAGGAAGATTCTTGTGTTTCCATTGAATTCTTAGTTTTTCCCTTAAATTGGATCTCATTTTTCAGGTTTAATTTTTCATTTCTTAATTGTCTCATCCTTAAATAGGATAGAGGTTTAAGACCCTGGGCGGCACGCACCAATCCTAAATTTTTGGGAGTACCCCCCTCCCCCTTAAACTTTCCGCTTAATACAGGAACAGACGTGAAGAATGAAGAGGATTGTAAAACATGAAATAGCCGGCACAACCTTAACGAATACCAGGGTAGGTAAAGCAGAAACAACCGTAACGCGATGTGTCGTGTCGACGCATGGTGAAAGACAATGCAACTCCCTCACCTTGAAACTAAAGCCCCTTGGAAACGGACGCAACATTCAGTTGGCAGTTGTTGCGTCCGTTTGTACGTAGCTAAAAGTTTGACCGGTTTCTAACTTTGCGCAACAACACCGACAACATGCAATAGGGTGTGCAACTGACGGGCGCAACATATACCATCAGACAATGTTGGGAGTTGTTGGCCAACAATGTTGCGTCCGTTTGCACGCGGGGGCTTAAGTTCTGAAATTATACAAATATCCACGGTATTTTTATCTTTTCACGCAACCATCCAACTAGAAAAACTTACAAGGCAACTGACTTTAAAAAAGTCAAACCAAATTCTTTATGCCACTAAACAGAATAAGGGAAAAAGTGTTGAGACACTTCCCTAAAATGGCACCTTTTCTGCATGGTAAACATCTCTATTTCTTCCCCTTTATACCCCCCCACCCCATTCCTCCCCCCCCCCAAATTAATGTTGTATTTCAAACCCTCAAATCTTTCTTTAAAGATAGTTGTATGATAAATGAAAGACATTGTTGATAAAAGGGCCCGTTTTAGACAAGTGTGTCACTACTTTTGTCACTGATTGTAGGCACGATGCATTTCGGGTTACGTGGTCTCCCAGTCGTTCGTTTCGGATACGCCACCGAAATGCATTGACCGTCTTGGGCTTTTAACAAGTGTATTTTCCTTTGATTAATAAGTATACCTGCCACAAGCTACTACACAGGTCAAAAATCCCTTGTTTAGCTTTATTTTGTCTTTTTTAAACCAGTAAATTTTTAAAAAGGCACAAAATTGTACAAAATAAAAGCAGATAGAGAACACCATAGAAAAATAGTTATTCCATTAAAAAAGTTGCCATTGGTCAGCAAATTTAATCCCAGAAATAATTCGAAACTAAAAACGAAGAGAACTTAAGCATAACACCTTCAGAGCAAATTTCCATAGACCTTTGCATTCTTCATGAAGTCATTGTTTCTTCCCTTTTTTCATTAGAAATAATTTTTATATTCATTGACCATGTCTATTGACACACATTTTGGGAAGTAATACTGAAACACGATGAGGCTTGATAAAGAAAAACATTTCTCATACTTCTGTTACAAAAAATGTGAAAAAACTAATATCATCAGATGGAGATACTGTTTTCTTCACTCTTTAAAGGTTTAGTGCTTAATTTAATAACAGATTTTAGAAAGACTAGTCATAAAAATTGGATGACTAGCCCTTGTATCATCGATAGGAGTCACCAACCTATTGCTTAGCAATCATACTCGTTCAAGGGGGATTGACACGGTTGCGATTCCAGGCTGTCCCTGTTTGCTCTTTTCTCGAGATCATAAGAGCCTCGTCGTTTAACAAAACGCAACTGAAAGGGGCTTATCTTAACTGGCGAGTGGCTCTTCTCATTTTCCACGCTCTTCTCAATGTTTTCGCTCAATGCAATTTTTGATTCTGCACTAACTCCGTTGCCAAGCCGAGTATCTTGATCCTGTTTAAATGGAACAAGTCCGTTTTTACTCGTACTTTGCCCTTCTTCTTCACAATCTTCTTGTACAACTTCCAGTTGCTCATTTGACAACTCGAAGGATCTTTTCCTCCTACCATGGAATCGAAAATGTCGATGTTTTCGATGATGTTTGTCTACGGAACCGCTGGGAGTAGTGCGAGTCACATCGGGCTTTTCAAACGCTTCTTTCTTGTTCTTGACGAGATTTCCATCATTTCGGCTCTTAATTTGTAAAATACTTCGTCTTTTGTCAGCTGGTTTTGATTCTGACTTTGTGACAGCTGCTTCTAAAATCTGTTGTTTTCGCTCTTCAAGTGAAAGTGAAACTACCTCTTTCCTGGCTTGTAATCGTTGTTGGGACTGCTGTTTGCCAATATCCAGTAACGTCATTTTGCGACTAGTGGTTTGGGGTTCAATGTTTTCCAAAACCACGTTCTCTGATTTTCTGGAGATCTCCTTAATACTTCCTTTCTGTTCCACAAGCTTTGACTGCTCGCTATCTTGTAGAACTGAATCTTGGCAGTTTCCTTCTTCTTTCTTGATTTCCTCAGCTTTTACGTCTTCATTTGTATGTATCGAGTTCTTAAGATTATCATGATTATAGTGAGGTTCGAAGTTCTCTTCCAACTGGTTGATTTCGTTGTCCTTGACAATTTCAAACAGGTCTTCATCACTCTTATTAGGGCGAGCTAGAGTAAGGTTGATCTCTTCGTTAGCCTTCCAGTTGTCGCTTTTCTGGTCATTATCTTCTCTAGTATCCACGTTACGGCCTTCTAACTGGTCACTGCAGCTTTTGCTATCTTTGTACTCCGGAACCACTTGGTTAGATCGACTTTCTTTACTGCCTGTATCTGCATTTAAGAGTTTGGGAGGCTCCTTAGTACTTATTTTCTCCTTAGCTGTTGAAGATGATTTTCGTCCTTGCAGTTTAGAATGGGTTCCTAACGATTCTCTGCCCTTTCCCTTCTCGGAGTCTTGCCTCGAAGATGGGATACGTGCACGTCCAGGGTTCCTTGCTTGAGCTGCCTTCTTATTATCGTCGCTGATAGACGACCGCAAGGACCTTGGCTTGGGCTGGATACTTTCCGTGTTCTTGACCCCCTTTTCCATATAGTCAACACTCTTAGATTTTTTTGTAGGAGGTCGAGTCTTGGGCCTTACCGAGTCCAAACTTTTAGTCTTATAAGCAGGTTGTTTCAAAGCTGGAGGTTTCTTACCAACAGAAGATTCTCGTTTGTTGGATGTAACTTGTCGTTGATTGACGCTCTCCGAAACACGTGAGCTGTTTTCTGGTTTCTGGCGCTGGGCACGAGTCTTAACCGAGTTACCTCTTTGGTTGCTGGTTTTCTTTGGAGCCGTCTTAGAACTTGTTTTCGGGACTGTGCTAGACGTGTTTTGTTTTGTCTTCATAGCGCTTTCTTGTACTCTCTTGGCACTCAACGACGTGGTCACATCAAGGCTATTTGCTTTGGTAGCTTTTTCGTGACTTGAACGACCAGTGGTTGTTGATATCCGTTTAGAATTTTCGTTTAAACTCTTAGCTTTCCCTAACTGTTGTGGTTTTCGTCTCGATGGATGCATGGCAGGTTTGAAAGCGCTCTTATGACCTGCTCCTTGACGTAGATTATAACGTCTCCCACTCTTAATACCTTCCTCTTCACTTTCAGATAACGAATCGCTGCTATTGTCCTGAATTAATAAATCTAAAGTTTCACACAAAGACTCCAACTCCACGTCCCTGTGTTTGTCTGAAATTTCGTTGACTTTCTTACATTCAGATTCATTCCTAACGTCCTTTTCGAAATCCGATTCTTTTTCCGACTCAGTAGAACTGCCCATAGTTGCGAGCATATTGCCCAGCAGAGAAGAAAGTTCGTCTGCTTCCTCTAGCACAGCTTCGCGAGGGGACTGGACTGTCTGGC